GTCTCGTTCTAAAGCACAATTGCTGAAAAATATTAATAATAATTTAAGGTAAATAGGTATACAGTAATAGAGACATACTGCATGGAAACGGGCCCTTCAGTCCAACCTGCCCGCGTTGACTAAACATCTTAAGCAATCTAGTCGCATTTGCCCACATTTGGCCTCTGTCCCTCTAAACCTTTCCTATTCCTGTACCCATTCAGAACTTTTTAAAATGTCGTAGCTGTATCTAATGGGAGAACAACGTAGAACTTCAGAGATTCACAGAGATGTTGCGGGAAGGAACATCAAGTATTTCTGATCTCTGCTCTTCCCTGATTTGCATCGACCTCTGATCTATAATTTTTGAGGTTTGATATTCTTTCATATCCTGGTGTCAATAAATCTCAGAACGATTGAAAACATTCAGACATTGGGTAAAGATAATTGGCTATTGGAACAAAGCAAAACTCAATAAAGTGAAACGTATTTTAATGCAGCAAGTGTTTTGGGTAATTAATGGACGAGTAAAATGTACGGTGGACTCGAGAATAATTGTGGTATTGGAAAGTTTGTGAGTCTTTAGCCGGGCGTAATGCTTTGAAAGAGCAGTTGTGATTGATCAGCAAAGATGTGAGTGTCTGTTGAACAGAAACTGTAAAAATCTGTCCAGCATCTCCCAAATTAAGCAGCGCTCCACAATTTCGATAGTCAGTTCATATTTATTGCTTTGCAAATTATCACTAACATCACCATTTTCACTTCCACTCCTTTGATCCGCCTTTATTTCTTTTAGACATTTTGCACTTTTAACAAATGCAGCTGCGATGAAAATATGCGACTCTTGTTCCAATTGTTTACGGGGAGTCTCTGAGTATGCCTAATTTCATTCAGGGAGCAATTCATTGAAATTTTGAGAATTCACACATGTGGAATTTTTGTAGTTATTTAAGTTAATCATTCACCTGTTTTTGAAGTGTAATGTTCACATCATTAAATGGTAAACACCTATAAATGGGAAAGCTTGGTTTTGACAAGTTATTATCAAGCCTCAAATAATTAACAACCGCTGGGTGAACACAGAACATAGAACATAGAACAGTACAGCTCAGTACAGGCCCTTCAGTCCAAGATGTTGTGCCGATTATTATTCTACGAAGATCAATCTACCCTGCATACACTACATTTAACTATCCTCCATGTGCCTATCCAAGAATCGCTTAAAAGTCTCCAAAGTATCTGACTCCACTACCACGGCCAGCATCGGATTCCACATGCCCACCACTCTCTGTGTAAAGAAGCTACCTCTGAAATCTCCCCTATACCTTCCTTCAATCACCTTAAAATGATGCCCCCTCGTAATAGTCATTTCCGCCCTGGGAAAAAGTCTCTGACTTTCCACTCTATCTATGCTTCTCATCATCTTGTAAACCTCTATCAAGTCACCTCTCATCCTTCTTCGCTCCAAAGAAAAAAAGCCCGAGTTCCCTCAACTTTCCCTCATAAGACCTGCACTCCAGTCCAGACAGCATCCTGGTAAATCATCTCTGCACATTCACTGAAGCTTCGGATCTTTCCCATAATGAGGTGACCAGAACTGAACACAACATTCCAAGTGCGGTCTAACCAGAGTCTTACAGAGCTGCAGCATAACCTCACGGTTCTTAAACTCAATTCCCCTGCCAATGAAAAGCAACACACCATACGCCTTCTTTACAACCCTATCAACTTGGGTCGCAACTTTTAGGGATCTATGGACGTGGACTCCAAGACCCCTCTATTCCTGCACACTGCCGAGAATCCTGCCATTAACGCTGTATTCTGCATTCAAATTCGATCTTCCAAAATGAATCATTTCACAATTTTCTGGTTTGAATTCCATCTGCCACTTCTTTGCCCAGCTCTGCATCCCGTCACTGTCCCATTGCAACCTACAACAGCCCCCCACGCTGTCCACAACTCCAGCAATCTTCGTATCATCGGAAAACCTACTAACCCACCCTTCCACTTCCTCATCCAAGCCATTTATAAAGACCACAAAGAGCAGACTACCCAGAGCAGATCCCTGCGGAACACCACTGGTCACCAAGCTCCAGGCTGAATACTTTCCATCTACTATCACATTCTGTCTTCTATTGGACAGCCAGCTTTATATCCAGACAGCTACATTTCCCTGAATCACATGCCTCCTTCTTTCTGAATGAGCCTACGATGTGGAACCTTATCGAATGCCTCGTTAAAATCCATATACACCGCATCCACTGATCTACCTTCATCGATGTGTTTTGTCACATCCTCAAAGAATTCAAAAAGCCTTGTGAGGCACGACCTGCCCCTCACAAAGCTATGCTGACTATTTCTAATCAAACTGCGCTTTTCCAAATAAGCATAAATATTATCTCTCAGTATCCTCTCCAATAATTTGCACACCACAGAAGTAAGACTGACTGGTCTGTAATTTCCAGGATTATCCCTATTCCGTTTCTTAAACAAGGGAATGACATTTGCCACCCTCCAACATTCTGGTACTACTCCAGTGGACAATGAGGACACAAAGATCATTGCCAAAGGGGCAGCAATTTCATGCCTTGCTTCCCCTACATAATCTTGATTATATCCCGTCTGGCCCAGAGGACTTCTTTATCCTCATGTTTTTCAAAATTTCTAGCACATCCTCCTTCCTAACAACAACCTGTTCGAGCATATCTGCCTGTTTCATGCTGTCCTCGCAAACGTCAATGTTCCCCTCACTGGTGAATACTGAAGCAAAGTATTCATTGAGGACCTACCCTGCCTCCTCTGACTCCACACGCAAGTTCCCTCCACTATCCCTGATTGACCCTACCCTCACTCTGGCCATCCTCTTGTTGCTCACATAAGTATAGAAAGCCTTGGGGTTTTCCTTGATCCTACCCACCAAGGTTTTCTCATACGCCCTTCTAGCTCTCCTAAGTCTATTCTTCAGTTCCTTCCTGGCTACCTTGTAGACCTCTAGACCCCTGTCTGATCCTTGCTTCCTCAACCTTAAGTAAGCTTCCTTCTTCCTCTTGACTAGGTGTTCAACATGTCTTGTTAGCAAAGGTTCTTTCACCTTACCATCCTTTCCTTGCGTCAGTGGGACAAACCTGTCCAGTACCTGTAGCAACTGCACACTAAACAACCTCCACATTTCTATTGTGCATTTCCATGAGAACTTCTTATCCCAATTGGAGCTCCGTAGTTCTTGCCTAATAGCATTGCAATTCCCCCTCCCCTAATTAAATACTTTCCCATACCGTCTACTCCTATCCCTCTCCATGACTATAGTAAAAGTCAGGGAATTGTGATCACTATCACCAAAATGCTCTCCCACCGAGAGATGTGACACCTGACCTGGCTCGTTCCCAAGCACCAAGTCCAATATGGCCTCCCCTCTAATCGGCCTATCTACATATTGAGTCAGAAAGCCTTCCTGGACACACCTGACAAAACCTGCTCGATTCAAATTATTTGTACTTAGGAGGTTCCAGTCTATATTAGGGAAGTTGGAGTCGCCCATGACAACAACTCTGTTACTTCTGCAACTTTCAATAATCTGTCTCCCAATCTGTTTCTCAGTGTCTCTGTTCCTATTCGGGGGCCTATAGAAAACTCCCAATGAAGTGACTGCTCCTTTCGTGTTTCTGACTTCCACCCATACTGACTCAGTGGAGGAAACCTCATCCACGACCACCCTTTCTGCAGCTGTGATACCATCCCTGATTAGCAATGCCACTGTCCCACCTCTTTTACGTCCATCCCTATTTCTTTTGACACTTCTATACCCCGGAACATCCAATAACCATTCCTGCCCCTGTGTTATCCAAGTCTCCGTAATGGCCACAACATCGTAGTTGCAAGTACTGATCTATGCTCTAAGTTCATCAACCTTATTCCTGATACTTCTTGCATTGAAGTAGACACACCTCAACCAGTCGCACTGACTGCCACTTTGCCCTATCAACTGCTTATCCTTCCTTATAGATTCTCAGCTTGCTCTATCTGTCTGTACACTGAATACCCCATCCTTTGTATACTGGGTGTTCCAGGCTGAATCAGATATTAAATTTGGCCGAGGCAAGTCTTAGTTGATTTGTGATTTCAAATGTCCACAGATTTTTTTTACGTAACGGATTCATATTACATATATAGCTCCCAGAATGAATAAACTATAACTCGTGGAGAAGGCTTCTGCATCTCTAGGCCAGATAGGTTACAAACTTTGAGAACAGCTGTTATTATTTCTGTAGAATTCTGTCTTGCGCTGCATAGGGCCGAATGCTGAATATTTCCAGTACTTTTCATTTCTGCCTTGCCTGATCGACATTGAGCTCTGATTTACAATTGTAAAGTGTGCTATTCAGTGATAACCCTGTATCAGACAGTTCTCAATCTCCTTCCTTGGGATCTGGAAGGCATTGTGTTTCAAATAGATTCAAACATTTGTGCTCCATGAGACTTATGTAAAAAAAAAACTTCAGGACGAAGAGTCAGCCCTTGGTTTGCCCACGGTTGTGTCTCTATTCCTGACTGAACGTTGACAGTTTTGGTTGAGGAATGTTTAATTTGGCATTTTAAGTGGAGATTCATCCTTTATTAACCCAGGCTGTACCAATGTAGGGAGAATTTTTATTTTAGACAGAGCAGAGTGAGCTTTATAAATCTATTTCCTGCCTTCTATAGGCTTCTTGTGGAACAAAGATCTTGATTTTTAAACATACTTGACACGAAACCGCAACCCTTTGTGCATAAAAGGAAACATCGAGGGCTTCCTTGCGCTCTAATCATTCTGCCTCTGGAGTGTTCCATTCGGCAGACTGAATTAAACATGGATATACAATGGTGGACTGCAAGGTGTCGCAGCATTAACCGAAATGACAGAGTGAAACACCCCCAGTCATAAGACGTGAAAAGCATTTGGGTGGGAAGGGAGTGGGCCACATAAACTGGGGAAATGTATTATTACTGATGGGCCTTGAAGAAAGAATCAAGCCAACTCAAGGTTTGTATATATTCATTAATGATTTATTAACTATTTCAGACAGCATTTTTATCCAAAAATGTATGTTAAAGTTAATGTAAGTAAATATAATGAATTGATAGCACATTGGAATGAAGACGCACGTGCTCTGAGCTGTAACAATCATCAGAAAGAGAAAGTACAAGCTCAAAATAAAGGTCAGGCCACCATTCTGAATAAGGAACAACAACAACGACAAAAAAAAAATACAAGCCGTCTTCAAAAAATGGGAAGTTACAAAGTATTTCATACATAGTTTTCTTAACGATACCAAAAAAAACGGAAACGCCATCAATTATTTTGTCAGGTACACACTCATAAACTGAAGTTATCGCACTGTTAGAGTCAACAACAGGATAGATTGTAGATTTGGATTTCAGAAGGCTCAACAAACAGATGAGGAAATTGTACAGGATCCAAAATTTATTCACTTGGCCTGGAAAAAAAACGATAAAGTAATGATCCAGATGTTTATGATCAGGAGCATTTAGGTTTAATTTTTATTCAAAGACACACTTAGAGATTTGACAAACCATATTCGTCTGTTTGAAGTGTGAATTATTTAATTATTCCCACCTTCACCAGAGTGATGGCAGCGCTGTAGAAAATACTCAGGAAGAACAGGGTGATGAATGTGGAAGCAGTCGTCCAGATGTTGCTGTTATCATCCTCATAGTCTTCAATCCGAGGGTGATCTATTGAATCTATGAATATAAAACCGAGAGAATGTATTTACATTGTTTGTTGATCCAGACTGATATGCCTCTATATAAATAATGTAATCATGGACCATAACATCTTTTTCAAGCTGTAGGGATGTTCTCAAATTTGACTCCCTACCTGGATCTATGATTGTGTTCGTGTCTCTCAGCAACAAATTGCTAATACTAACTGCACACAGTCTTCCTTTATTACGTGTGTCAGAAAATTTTGAATTACTTCGTCATTTAATCAATTATTGGGGAATGTTACCATTGTTATCATTTGCAGAACACTCATCGGGAACGATTATAATAATAATAATAATTATAATTATAATTATAATAATTATTATTAATTATTATTATTATAACATAATTATATTTTAACTATAGGCTGTGACAACTCTTTAGTTGAAAATTTTGGCCATCATTGAATAAGAGTTAAAATATGATTACTCATCTTCTTCAATTATTCGTGAACAGTTGCTTGGCAAATCATGAACATAATTCAAGTGCACAGTAAAGACACTGCTTTATATTTTTGTTAGGAGTAAATTTTTGTGCGCGTTCACCTTCATTTATTTTTGTCTATAGCTTGGTGCCTATGATTTTCCTTTAATGTTTGTGAATCTGGTCACGAGTTTCTCTTACTTCGCAGCGTCCATGTTGGAGTTTGGACATAAATAAACATATCCATGTTTCTTTAGTGCTGGTGTGTTCATTTACATGGTTGTGATTATGTATGCAGATGTTGTTAATTTCACAATTTCACATTGTGTTAACACGTCACTTCATTCATTGATGCCTGTCTTTATCTTTTAATGTCATTGTGAATGCGTTTGTTTTGCATTATTGCCATCTAAAATATGTGTTTATGTATCTATTTTCGATCGTACATACGTTAGGTTATTTTCAAGTTTGTGCTCCATATGTATATATTATGTAAGTATGAAACTTTCTGTTTTGATGGATGGTTATATTTATGTGATGTCTTTTTGCGTGTCTGTGCATATAAACCATCTCCTGATATGCTTAGTTGTGTTATTGTGTGCGGATGTTTGCCGATGCTTGTATCCTAACCCTTGCCTTGTAAATGCTCCACTGTTTATTGATCTGCACACTTGCGTGTCTGCATGTCAGACTCTGAAATTGCATGTAAGCATGACAGTGTATTTGTGCAAATGAGTGTCATTTAAAAATAAATCATTAAGCTGCCTTTCTCATCATATCGCTATGTTTGTGAAAATGGGATAGTGATGAGTTTAATATTTATCTCTGCGCTCAACCGCGTCTCTGTGAGCATACATTTGGAAGGACATTTTCGGATGCTGTATCTGTGTATTTATGCATGTATGTCAGTAGGTTTTATGGTGAACGAATATACATACATTCGTGTCCATTTGTGTGTTAACGTGTGTCTATATTTTTCATGGTTATGTGTACGTACCACTGTTCACTTGTGTGTGTGCGTGTGTGCGCGCACGCTCGCTTTTGTGTGTGTGTGTGGTGTGTGTTTGTGTTTCCGTGTATCTGCTTTTGTATGCAGTTATTTACGTGGATGCTCATGATCATATGCATGTGTGTCTCCGTGCGTTTATGCTTGTGTGATGGCTTGTTTGTATGGACATTGCTGTGTGCTCATATATGTGTCTTTACGTGAGATTCTGCGTAATTGTGTTTTTATATGTGTGTTTGTGAGCATGTGTCTGTATCTGTGTGTGTTTCTGTTGTCTTACTAAACCATGTTCATTTTCGTCATGGTTTTAATTTTAATCGACTGCCAATAATGAGGTCTGACCCAAATGGTGTGGGGAGCATTTCTCGTCGTTGTGGAAAGATTATTGCTTTGTGAAAGACTCTTTTGTTGCAGTGATAGAATTTCTGTCTTTGAGACAAGGGGCTCGAGTTCAATCCGCCACTGCTCCAGAGGTGGATAAAAATATTTCTGAATATGTTTTAGGAAATATCAATGTGTACTGTACGTGAAACTAAATGACGTCAGGCGTTCGAATATCAGAATTGATCCCATGTGTTCCACAAATCTGAGACAAAACTGTGCAGTACGAATTGGGATAATGCAATCATCAGCTTTGGTTTTGATTATAGGTATTCAATGTTAAGAGATGATTAACGGGGACACGCGTGTCCAACATGCTTCAAAATTATAATTTCATGTGGACATTTTAAATCTTCGGACAGTTAGAAAATGATGACTGTTCCTATTCGCAACTAGTTCACCTTACAAATGCCCTCTACAGTTAAAACATTCTGTATGGGAAGCAAGAGTATAGTCGCTTCAACGTTCCCTCTCCTCTCCCTCTGCTGAACAACAACAATTTTTCTTTTGGTTCTCTCTAGTATAGAAGTGAAGATAAATACTCTTAATTAATGCATTGGTGCGAGATCCCTGGCAGTTCCCTAGAAACAAAAGTTAAATTCAAGTTGCTCTGTCGTCGTTGATGTTTGTTCCGCGTAACTTGTCTTTCCTGTTGGTATATCACAATCAAAAATAATTCATAAAATCTCTTAAGTTTATGCTGCCAATTCGTGAAATGCAGCAGTTTAAAGCTGACATGAATTTTGAAGATTAGGCACTTTGGGGATTAGGAACAGCTTGATCAAAATGCGGGTTGTGAATTTGTCAAAAGATTGGACATTCTCAAATTTAGTCTGAGTGGGATTTGAGATGAAGAAGGTACTTTGTGGAATGCAGCAATGCGTGAGCTTTACTCTGTCTCCGAACCAGAGTGCGTCTGAGTAGGGTGCATTAACTGCATAAGACGTGAGTACTGGGTCTGTTAATAATCAACTTGAACTGAATGGATGGAATATTAGTAAAAGTGTCAAACACAATTAATTAAACGTTGTATGTTTAAATCACAATTGGACGAACAAAGTCTTTAGTACTTTTATTGAATTCTTAAATGTAACCTTGTAATTTTCATTGGCATGAATTAATGGTGTCCATCAGTGCAAGTGAAATGTTTACAAAACTTGGTTTACCGCTGGATTTGTCAACTGTTCTGTTAATGATCTTCAATGGAATCGCTTCATGTCCCACCACACAGGAGTAAGAAGCACCGCTGGCCCACTCCTCCGCTGCAATGGATAACAGGCTGTACATGAAGAAGGAGGCGTTGTCGCTCTCTGCCGTCACCTCGGTGTTCTTGTAGTTACTGGGATTCACCGGCTTATCATTGTTTGTCCACTTGACGAAGATGTCACGGGGGGAGAAATGTCTCACGAAACAAGTGAGGGAGACAAACTTCTGAGTGGAGACTTCTTCCGTCGGTGGCAAGAGGACAGACACTGATGGCTCCAGTGGATTTATTGCTGCAGAATATTTGAAACAAACATAAAATAATTTTAAAAATACAAGCTCAATATTGGTATTTCACTAAATATTAAAATATTCCATTTTTAATTTGGGATTAATCCACTTTCATTTTCCAAAGGAGCAGAATGGTATCCATTTTATTTTTTAGAAAAAAAAGTTTGCTTGGTAAGTTGCCGCATTTTTCCAGCCCAAAACCAGGAATTTCTGTCCATTCGTCATTGCTGATGTTTACGTCACAAACCAGGCTTTTCCTACGGTATGTGACTGAATCATCATACATTATCCTTGAATCCAACTTTTTCTTAATCAGCTACTGAGCTGCCAGGAAATGCATTGTGAATGCTTCCAAAGGTATTAGTTCGTTATAAATCAAAGAATACTATCGATGTGAATGGAGCAAAATTACGTATGCGTTGGAAACAGGCACAAGGAGAGAGTTCGTGCTTTGATCTCACCACTCACGTTTCTCCTTGTGGATGGAGTCTCTGAGAGGAGTCGGTAGATACTGATGGTTCACCACGCAGTAGAAAGTAACCCCACTCAGCCAGGCTTCAGTAGAAATGTCCAATTTGCTGATCACGCTGTCGGGATCCTCTCTGGCTTGGTCAGCAATCTCTGATTTCAAAGGCTTATTTTCCTGTGTCCAGGTGACGTTGACTCCAAAAGGAAGATTGGATACAACACAGGTCAACGTCACCGTCGCCTCCAGTAAGACCTGTTCGATTGGCGGCGGTAGTATTTTAACTGTGTAATCACGGCACTCCGTAACTGCAATGAAGTAAACATCACAGTCAATGAAAAATGCCTCTTTGCGATCAAAACACCCGCCTTCAGGCTATTTCCTTACAAGGTAAAGAAACGACCTTCGAGGTAGCAATTTTCAACTTTTCCTGAAACGATAAATTGTTCATATATTTTGATTTGTGAAATCATTCGTGATTACCTAAAACATGACCTGTGTAATTATTTTTAAGGAACACTGGCTTTGCAACAAGTGAATCCTATGAAGAAAGTAAAATAATCAAAGGTACCATGATGTTAGACATGGAGTAACCTTCCTTTCAGAGTTCTTCTCTCAGTTAAGTCATTCTATTGATACTTGTGACAAAACTAATCTCCGCTCAATGTAATGACTTCATTTCGACATTCATGAACCATGCATACAAATGATGTTGGTCATGCTGAGTGCCACCCCAAATCCCGAATTTCGGGAAAATTGTAATCAATCGTAATTATTCTCTGATTCCTCATGTATTTGCAAAGATTTTAATGTGTTACTGGAGCGGTGAACGGTGACGGAAATTCTGTTCAACGTGATTTAACATGATTGAAAATTATTTGCATTATTTGCGTGAGATTGTTCTCTAAAATATGGCATGAGATATTATTCCTCATGAATTTGAAGTAGATGTGAAAATAATACTCTGACCACAGCATTAGAAATAGAGTAGGACACTCTTCAACTCAAGTCTTTCACTTCAGTTTTTTTTTTAGCGACTGACCTCTATTTTCTCATTACTTATCAATCTGCAATTTTTTGTTTACTCGCAGAATCAAATTTAAAAATCAAGTAGGAACGTTTTAAATCGATGCAGAAACACAATGGAAGTTTGGCCAAGCGAACTTTAGACTTCCACGACTCACTGTTGGAACATCTCCATCCTGAAACCAAATTGAAACAGCCTGGCTCTAATTCCAATTCATTCATCCCTACTGTAGCATTCCCACCAAAATTTATTTTCTTGCCACATACACCATTTACAGAGAACGTCTAAAAGAAGTTCAATTAGATCACGTTTATCCCTGTTAATCAAATATGATACCCATTTGTTCTATGCTTTGGTGCCTTGATTGAAGTTGAGGAGCCCCGTACCATACCAAATCTAAGCCAACAGATATCTATTTCAAGCCTCCCGACTCTCACAGCTACCTAGAATACACCTCCTCTCACCCACCTTCCTTCAAGAATGCCATCCCCTATTCCCAATTCCTTCGCCCCCGCCGCAACTGCTCCCGAGATGAGGCATTCCATTCCTGGACATCCCAGATGTCCTCGTTTTTCAAGGACCACAAATTCCCCTCCACAGTGGTCGAAAGCGCCCTCGATCACGTCTCTCGCATTTCCCGCAACTCATCCATCACACCGCCTCTCCGCAATGACAACAATGTCAGAATCCCCCTCGTCCTCACGTACCATCCCACCAACCTCCGGAGTCAACGCAACATCCTCTGCCACTTCCGCCACCTGCAATCTGACGCAACTCCAAAGGACATTTTTCCCTCCCCACTCTTATCTGCCTTCCGGAGGGACAGCTCTCTCCGTGACTCCCTTGTCCGCTCCACACTCACCACTAGCCCTACCACTCCTGGAACTTTTCCCTGCAACCACAGGCAGTGCTACACCTGCCCCTACACCTCCCCCCTCATCCTCATCCCAGGCCCCAAGAAAACCTTCCGCATTAAACAGACGTTCACCTGCATATCTGCTAATGCGGTATATTGTATCCGTTGTTCCTGGTGTGGCCTCCTTTACATCAGGGATACCAAGCAGAAGCTTGGAGATCGCTTTGTGGAACACCTACGCTTGGTGCGTGACAAACGACTGCATCTTCCAGTCGAGAACCACTTCAACTCCCCCTCCCACTCCTTGGACGATATGTCCATCCTGGGCCTCCACCAGTGCTACAACGATGCCACCCGAAGGTTGCAGGAACAGCACCTCATATTTCTCTTGGGAACGCTGCAGCCCAATTGTCTCAATGTGGACTTCAGAAGTTTCAAAATCTCCCCATTCCTGACCTCATCCCAAAACCAGCCCATCTCGTCCCCACCTCCTTGATCTGCCCGTCTTTTCTCCAACCTATCCGCTCCTCCCACCTCACTGACCAACCCCCACCCCCACCCCCACCTCCTACCTACCAGCCTCAACCCCGCCTCCTTGACCTGCCAGCCTTCCCTTGACTGACCAAGCCCCATCTTAACTCCCCACCTACACTCAACTTTATTGTCTCCATCCCCGCCTCCTTGACCTGTCCGTCTCCTTTTCACCTATCTGTTCCTTTATGTGCCTTCCATCTGCCTCCCCACCCTCTCTATTTATTTCAGAGTCCTCTTCCCCTCCCCCATTTCTGAAGCAGGGTCCAGACCCGAAACGTCAGATTTCCTGCTCCTCTGATGCTGCCTGACCTGCTGTGTTCATCTAGCTCTGCACCTTGTTATCTCAGATAATTCCTGAGCTTGGAACAAAGTATTGAACGTGTTCTGTTTTATATTTTTACGATGTCATCTGAAGACCACAAGATCATAAGATATAGGAGCAGAATCGGGCTATTCTGCCAATCAAGTTTGCTCCGCCATTTGATCACAGCTGATATGTTTCTCAACCTATACACACACATTCGCCCCGGACTAAGCATCAGCCTATCTATCTTTGCATTAAATACGTTCAATGACATGGCCTACACAGCCCTCTGAAGCAATGAAATCCACAGATTCATCACTTTCTAGCTGAAGAATTTCCTCTTAATCTCATTTCTAAATGGTTCGCCCTTTGACTCTGCCTCTGTACCATTGGGTCCTAGTCTTACCTTATGGTGAAAACATCTTCTCCACATCCACTCTGTCTCGATCTCTCAGGGTTTTCTCAGTTTCAAAAAGATCCCTCCTCGAACCCGAAAACCCTTATCCTTGGGACCATACCAGTAATAGATTCGGCACTCCGACTCCCTCTCCAAGTACGTTCAATCAACAACCAAATCCAACTAACTGTCCATATGTCTTCAACATAGACGGAAGTGTGTGTGTTTTTTTTTTCTGATCTGAATTACAAGCAATGCTGACATAACACTAACACGGAAATAATATTTTCACGGCATGACGGTAAATTACAAGTTGTTCTCTGTTGTTTACCAAGCCTGATCAATTCGCGTATTTGATTTACATTGCGTTCAGAATGATGTGTAGTTCTCTTAGTATGTATTTCTTACCCTGGAATCCGGTGATGTTTCCACTTTGAATGAGCCCTTCATGGGTGACCTGGCAAGTATAGACTGCACTGTTGAACCATTCACTAGAAGGGACTCTCAGCCGACTGGTCGCTGAGAAGTTCTTGTTCGTTTCATACACAGGAGAGTTGAAGAAGCCAGAATCCACGGGTCGTCCATTCTTCAACCAAGTCACTAAGATTGACTTTGGTTGGAAATCGATGATTGAACAGACGATGGTTGCAAATTTGCTGTTCGTAATTTCTTCACTGGAACTCACAGTTAGGAGAAGAGTTGGATGGACAATAATTGGACCTTAAAGGAACACATCGTGTAATTTAGCTGACGGATTTGATAACTAATACCATTACTTGTTATATATCAATGTTAATTGTTGTTAATTGACAACAACTTCGGTATTACAAAGAGCATAATGTGCAAAATGGTAGAGAAGCTGTGATCGACACAGAAAGATCAGCAGGGCGATGTGAAATGCCAAAATTAGAAAGGGTAGCAACGGCCTAAAGAAGGCATAGAAATTATAGGCCAATTAAGTCAAAAGGCAGTTAGCAATGTTGGATGTTATTCGTTTTAATGAAAGGAGGCTGACAAATAAGACTCGTGCGTTGAGGGCATAATTAAGGAAATCGTGCAATTGATATCGTGGAAATATGTTGAGAGAGGGGCAGGATTGGAAGTTCATAATTCCAGGCCGTCCGGCGAGACAGAGAAATATATAAAGGGGGCCATGGTTCTGTTGCAATACTGATCAGGGTATTTCAGGTTGTAAAGAAGGATTAAATCACAGATACTTCCTCAAGTGAACAGCACTAAAAAACCAAAATAAACCAAATATACGACTGGAAGAGTTCTATAGAGCCCTCTATCTCTTCAAGAGATCGAGAAGTGCAGCGACATAGGCGCATTTCAGAAAACTGTAAATTAATAGGGGAATGATTAAAGCTGATTTTAATTTCCTCAATTTCAGCTCGGGTATTCAAATTGTCAAAAGGTTAGAGGGAGCAGAATTCTGAAAATGCTCCGAAGAGATTTTTTAAAACCAAAAATAGAGAATGTATTTAATAGACATTTAAAATACGCACCTTGCAAGAGAGAGGTGAACCTGGACTTACTTTATGTAATGAAGCCGAACAAATGGTTCAGATATCAATGGTGGAGCATTTTGCAGGCAGAGATCATAAATCTGCTTGATTCAAGATTGTACTGGAAAGGGATAGGAGTGGGCCTGCACCAAAGTCCTGAAATGGGGAAGTCAATTTTAATAAGGTCAGGAATGATTTGACCGAACTGGAATGTAAACCTAAGTTGGAGCAATAAGGCACATTCAAGAAAGAACAGGAAAAATATAAGGACGACATGTTCCGATGAATCCACAGTATGGGACAAAAAATGTAGCGAGCTCTGGACATCAAAGGACATACAGGGTTAGACAAAGGGAAAAATGGGAGATTTATGGTATATTCTGAAGACTCAAAACAATAGAAATTCTCAAAGTGTACAGAAAGTGCAAGGAGGATTTTGACAAAAATGGGAAAATGGGAAAACAAAAAGTACCACGAAAGAATAATGAAGGTCAAAATGAAAGAAACTATAAAAGAACGTTACAAATTCAATCATAATAAAAGGATAACTCGGCAAATAGTAACCCCCATTTCTGTATGATATTGTTGGTGTGAAGTCAGAGGATTTAGCTTTTGTTCAGTTGTTCACTCGTACGAGGGACAATGTGGATATAGGAATCATTGTGAAGTGCTGTGATTGAATTTAAGAAATTAGAATAGATGCTTGGATATTCTGTGTTATCTTGCTGGAATACAAGTAGCGAAGTTTCCAGGCCGGATGAAATGTATCCCAGGCTGTTCAGTGAAGCACAGGATGAAATAGTTGGGCAATTTAAAATAGTTCAGAATTCCTGTCTGGCCATAGGGTCTGTGCCAAATGACTGTAGGTCAGCAATGTGGTCCAGTTATGCATGCGGAGGGAAGGGATAAACATTGAAAGCACAGGCTTGTCAAGTGATTGGGAAACTGTTGGAAACATTGTGAAACACAATTAATCTTCATTTGGAGGATCAATCAAAAATTCTGAAGTGGTTTTATTGAGGGGAAGTTATGTCTGAACCATTTGATAGTGTTTTTCGAAAAGTTAACCAGGTTTGCAGATGATAGCAAAGATAAGAGCCAATGGGATCGGAGTTAGTTGAACGAATTGAATCCAGAACTGGCTGAGTGGCATGGAGACGAGGATAATGGTCTTGCGGTGTTTGTGTGATTGGAAATGTTCATTTAGTGCTGGGCTTCAGGCATCAGTGTTGATTTCGTTGCTGTTTCTTCTAAACACTGACGATTTAGACTTGAATATTGGAAAATTGACCAGTAAGTTCAGAGACGAAATGAAAATTGTCGAGTTGGTCAGTAGTGAGCATGATAGTTATAGGTCACAGGAGGATCTTGAACTGTTGGCTACATGCGCTGAGAAGCGGCAAATAGAAATGATTCTGGATAAGTGTAAAGTGATGCATTTGCACGGAAGAAAACACAAGGATTTGAATATTGGAAGCCTGGAAAGCACTGAGGATCTTTGGTGTGCATGCTCTGTGATCCCTTAATTTTCTGTCACAGGTGAACAAATAGGTTAAGAAGTTGTGTGGGACATTAGTCTTTATTAGCTGTGGCATTGGATTTATGAGCAGGGAGATAATGCTGGGACTTAATAAAACGCTGGTTAGGCCATATTGAAGTATTGTGTGCTGATCACGAATCCACATTATCAGAGGAATGTGTTTACACTGAAGAGGGCATAGGCGAGATTTATCAGGATTTTGCTTGGACTGGAAGTTTTAGTTACGAAATGAGATTACACAGACTGGGGTTTTCCTTAGTGCGGAGGAGTTTGAGGGAGAACGTGATTGAGATTTCTGGAATTGTGGTGGGCATAGGCAGGATAAGCAGGAAAAATAAAAACCTTTCCCCTTGATGGAGGGATCAATGTCTAAGAGAAATAGGGCTAACGAAAGGTCACGAAGTTTAAAGTGGATGTCAGCGAAACAGGGTGGTGCAAACCTGGAAATCAGTGCTTGTAAGTCATGTATAGGCTGAATCCCTCATAATATGTAAGAAGAATTTGGATGCATACGTGCGAAGGCAAGTAATACAAGACAATGGATCAAGTGCTGGCATATTAAATTGGATCAGTTACGTGTTTGTTATTGATAGGCGTGGATCGGGTGGTCCTAAGGGCCTTTTCTGTGCAGCACACATCTATGACTGTGTGAAAAGTGTTATAAATAATTCCCCATTCATGTTAATCACAGGTTTTCTGTTTATCTCACGTCCCACGACACTTACATGGCATTTTAGTGTTCTCCTCTGACCCAATGTGTTGAACTTCACAGTAGATTTTGCTGCAATCCGCCTCTGACTCAGCTACGGTTAACTGGCTGCTTAGGGTATAAGTTCCCTTCTTGTTCCTCACTGATGGGTAAGTCTTCAATCCAGTCGTGATCGGCTTCCCACCTTTCTTCCAGGTCACCTTGGTGACGTCAGGGGAATAGTCCATTGCCAAGCAACCAAAGATCACAGAACCATCGATGTTGTGTTGCTGACAGGAGGAGATGAGGCCATAAAGTGTGGGAGAAGATGTTGTCACTAGGGAAGAATGGACGATTGAACAAGTTAGACTCTGATAATTCGACCTTATTAGTTACTCAAATGTACCCTCAGCTGCTAATGGTTTCTGCTAAAATTTACATTATAATAGTTGTAACAATGAACAATTAACAATCAGGCGAAATTTTGTTGGGAGTTGGAAAGAGCAAAGAACAGCAAGACTTATGATGATCTCATGAATGGAAGAACATTCTTTAGGGTTAGAGATGCTTTCTTTAGCTTCTAATTTGTAGATTCACACGTTCCTTCGGCAGCACATTTCAAAACCGAGACCTTTTTTAGACAAGGGCTCACATGCATGGTAAGTGCTTCCCATGAAAGTTTTCCTCCAGATCACACTCGATCTTGAAATGCAACTATTTCACTGGCTCGTTACTTTTACTGGATCTCTGCCATGGAACACACTTTCTAAACATGTCATGGAATTTTTATGCCATATGAATCTCAGCAACTCACGTAGGCTGATGACTACTAACTTCTCAAGGAGATGTAAGTATTCTGACAACCCACATCCGTCTAGAGAATCAAATAACCACTGGAAGAATAGAAGCATATTTGATGTACTTGCTGTGTGTCCACACACGGTTGACGTGCTGAAAGTGTTCGTTTTCTGTGTTTAGACTATGTTTTCACTGAACTGACAGAACGATTTCTTCATCATGTAATGGGAATGAAGGTTTGCTCATTTTATTTTCAATGCAATCATACATTATATTGTATGGAATAAATAAATATAATGTTAAATTAAAGGGATCTGACTCATTTGATTGGGATGTTTCAAATGGAAATTGCCAGAGATTAAAGCTTATTTTCATGGCTATTTAATTACAGCCCCATTGTGTTACCTTGAAACCTTACAAAATGTCTTCCATAAATGATGTTTCCCTTTGTTATATGCAGACGAATAATTGAATCTGGGACAGTCTTTCTTTGTTAATTAAATGTGTTAAAGGTTTTTGGCCAAAGGCAGGCCTATAGAGTTAAGTCATATATCCAACACAATCTAATTAAGTGGTGCAACAGCTCAAGGGGCTGAGTGCCCTTCTCTTGATCCTGTCTTTTTGTCACTATGCTATTCGTTAGGCTATCACTTACAGTGAACACTTTTTATTAAAACCCCTGCAGTCGACCTTTCTTACTGAGGTGTTCGTTCTGACTGTAACAATTTAGTAATGGCTCTCATTTCTGAGGCACCTAATCCAATATTAAACTTTTATGTACAGGTTGAAATCCAGTGACAGTGAATTTACAGCTTCTTCTGAAACTACGGCTCGATATCAGGTAACTCACATTCAATGATTATCTGATATTAACTAGCATTGAATTTTCTTAATTCATTAAAACACATTTTCTTTACGAATAACTTGTTGTTTCCCCTGACAACAGAACTTTTTTTTCTAACGAAATAACAAACTGTAAATACTTGAAACCGAAAATAAAATCAAATATCGCTGAAGAATTTCAGCAGTTCTGGCAGCTCCCGTTGAGAGAAAGCAAAGTTAACGTGTCGAGTCCAGTGATCCCTCTTTGTCAATTTTTTTCATGTTTTCAGGCACGAGAACTAACGCCTAATGAGTTCGACGCTGACTATGTTTGCTTGACATCTGCTGGAAGAAAATTCTTCGCAGTGGTACAGGACGACCTGAGATATAAATTGAAGACTTCCTGAAAAGCAACTGCTGCAAGTGTTAGTTTCTGTAGAAATGCCACACTACCAAGCAGTCAAACTCACGTCCAGCACTAGTTTGATATAAAATAAATTAGCATCGACATGTTCTCATCAAAAATGCTTTGGAAACGATTATCTCTGGATCAGTCATAAACAATGTTGATAGAACAGCAAGTCAAAAGCGGGATTTCTGCAAAGATTTTCTCCATTCAACCCAGCTAGCGAAGCCCAAAAGTCGTTGAACATGGACTGATTTTTTTTTTTAAAGCAGCTAACACAAAATTTCTGTCTAATTTTTAAGAAGCGCATGTCAGGACAGTGACTGAATAGATTTCACAGGCCTCTGTGAGAGGAATTCTAAAAACAACCAAAGAACTCAATGTATCCCACCCCCCTCCTCCCAGTTAACCTGATAAGAGATGGTATTACATATTACATAGGACACCTGGCTCAGGGACAGGGACAGAGACACTGCTATTGCTTCACAACAGGCCTGAGCACAATGGGCTCGACACTATCTATGGCAACGCAGGTCACCTGTTTGACAGTGCATAAACCGTGTTAATCATTAACTCCTTCCAGAACCCAGGGATTGTTACACAATGTTTACATGATGAAAGTAACATTTCAACAATTATCCAAGAATACTTTGATGGCATCTCCAAATTATAGAGGCAACTATAGAGAAATAAATATAGGAAACGCAATACTATAAATTCATTGCCATTGGAATTCAACATAGAATTCCCTTCCTCAAACCCCTGAGCGCCTTTCTTCAAAAGATCGACTACTTGGTTTGAAGTAGATTAAAATATTTTAAAATGTAGTATGACTGTTGCCATAAACACTAAAAGCTGACGGTAGGTTCTCAAATAATAAGATGCAAAATAAGTTCTGATTCTTCATTGTGCCACTAAACATGTCACTGACAACTGAGACACGATAAAAAAAAATTTCTTGTTCAATCAAATATTCGTAGTTGCTAACAACCAATTTCAAATCTCCTGCAGTCTAGCTTTGTTACTGAAGTGTTCGTTCTGGTTGTAACAGTTCAGCCAGGGCTCTCGTTTCTGAGACGTCTTATGAAATATTACATTTCTGGCAGATAAGAGCGGTTTTCAAACGCCATGTGAAAATGAACTGTCTGAGAATCAGCCTTCTGAACCAGACGATTTACAACCAGTCAGGACCATTTAATAAGGCAGTTAAAGATACCATAGAAACCAACGTTGCAACAGTTTTGATCCTAGCAGATGCATCTGCTCAATTCGTCATGTTAAATGTTGTAGATTCGTTGTAATTTAATTTTCATAGCAGAGCATAGCCAGAGGGTACGTCTTATTGCGAAGGGTCTCTAGACCCGAAACGTCAGCTTTCCTGCTCCTCTGATGCTGCTTGGCCTGCTGTGTTCATCCAGCTCTACACCTTGTTATCTCAGATTCTCCACCATCTGCAGTTCCTACTGTCTCCTAAATAATTACTGTCAGGTTTGCTTTGTATCAGCAAGTTACTTTTGTTCTTAGCTGCTTTGCAATGAAAGATTTTTTTTTAAAAAAAGTATTAATTGAAAAGTGCTTCTGTCGGGAGTTGCCACTTTAACTGATGTCTAAATAAATGATTATCCAATTAAACTAATGTGAGCAATATGCTTCAGTTTGCTACATTGCAACAATCAGTCAAGCATATTAATTAAAATAAATATACTCTATTTTCAGTGTTTGAATAAAAATGGGCTGTAATATCGTCTAGTTGCTGCCTTCTGTAAATTTCTAAACTCTGCATATGTCTGAACACATAGATATATAACACATTCTCTGCATTCGCAGCAAGTATTGCCATGGTGAGTTCATGAGTGGGTCATTTTAGTTGATTTGAAATCTAGACTTGGACACATAATCCACTGCAGCAGTTGTTTTCTCATGAATGACTCTTGAGTTGATATGTTGTTAGCAAATGTAACTCAATATATTAAAAACACACGGATTGGGAACGCGTAAAACACTGTGTGGATTAAATCACCCAGTTAATGTTTTACGTTTATTCTTGCAAATATGGTTGAACCGGGGATCCAACAATAAAATAATTCAAGTTACTTGCAAATTTGATCAGTGACGTGAAATCGATATTCTTTGAAATATTTCAGGCAGAATTGTCAAATAGTTTTTGTCAATTATCTTTTCTCGCCAGAAAACTTGTGTGTAGTGTACATTGGAATCGAAAGGTGCTTATTTATTAAATATATCACCGTTATGGCATTTTTGCACAACATCAAGAATTATTTCAACATTGTGTTTTGAAATTCTATTTATGCTTCTCTGTAATTTGTAAACTGCTCAAAGACAGACATTATGATTGAAGTAGACAGATGAGTTTTGCATTTGGAATGTGAAGCATGGATTAGACTATTCTGCAATTATTACTTTTAAGCAAGAATTGTGCGAAATGTATCCTTTTTCCCCAAGTTTCCCAAAACCTTTGCAATTTGCCTTTCATCTAGTGGTCAGCTTTAGGAAAATTCAACTCACATGCTGTTTGCATTCAATGAGGGAACTGAAGTGGTTCACTGTCAAGATCCATGTAAACAGCACAAAACCAGTGTAGAAAACAGAAAGAGCTTCATAAATCTAACAAATTTAATATCGCCCAAACGCACACTATTCTCAACAGAACAAACATCACCAAATCACCAAACTGAGGAACAATGCTGTGTTTTCAGCAGCACTAGCTCTGCAAACATTTTCAACAGAACCAAAATGCAGCGTCCAAGAAAAACTCAAATTGGAATCCACCAAAACTCGTCACCAAACAAGCTATTCATTAAATTAAATAGGAATAAGAAGTCATAACAGCTGTCTTCTGTGTAATGTGACTTATTTAACAACAGTTAAAGCTTAGCAAGTTTTTAGCAACAATTCAAATTACTTCCAACCCGTACAACTTTTCTGTTCATGACAATCTTGTGCAGTGCACAATAGAGCAGTTGGAGGCATATATTGATGAATCACTTCACGATCAAAATGAAATTAGTTCAATGGATAAGTATTACCACATTACGTTTGTATGTTCTCATACGTCTAGTCTCAGTTATGAAATCTGATCAATTAGGCAGTTTAAGATTTTAGTCTCAAATTATATTTTAAATGAGGCCAATAAAAATAAACTTTATCTCGTTTACAATTAGAATTGAAGTTCTTCTTTTTAAATCAAAGCACTAAAATGTCGTGTTTTTGTTTTCATTTCTCAAACCTTCCGTGTTTCTGCCTTAAGGTAGCATTCTGACAGTTACAAATGGATATAATGTTTTCAATCAATCATAAAAAATGCCCCATGACTTTAGCAGATGCAGAAAGAATGGGGGGAAAGAAAAGAACTTCACAAATATTAGTAATTAAAAATAATCCACTTAGACAATCTCCTCAACAGAAGTAAAGCACCAGTTACTGAAAGCTTGAAACCTTTTGAAAATGCACTTCGATTTCCAAAAAATTTAATAAGAATCCAATCAATTCAATTCAACAGAATCAAGTAATAAAAAATCAGAATCTCATTAACGCAAAACAACAGCATCAAATGAAAGAGGATCAGAATCCAATCAACTCAATTCAACAGAATTAAATAAAACAAAGCCAGAAGCCAATCAATTCAGTTCAACAGCATCAAGTGAAACAAAGTCAGAATCCAAACAACTCAATTCAACATTTTCCAGTAAAACAAATTCAGCATCCGATCAGCTCAAATCAATGGTTTGAAATGAATGAAAATCACAAACTGATCAACTCAAATCAATAACATGAAGTGTAGCAAGGCAAGAAAATTTCAAGAGAGAATCTACCGTGCTTGTCATCAACAACATTAATAAACTAAACCACAAAATGAAAGTATGGTAATAGCATTACATATTGTTGGAATATATTCAAGGAATGACTATCAATATTTTAGCATATTTTGATCATTTTTGGTAATATTTCGGACGTCATTAAATTCTTAACGTTTGTTGTCGATAATAAAACTCGCAGATAGTGGGTGACACTGATATTAAACATTATTTATAGCTTACTGATGAAGAGACTTTCGGTGTTTCAAGTAACCCAACCACACAGAATGCCCGTTTGATAAAAAAAAATACACCAAACAACAGAATCCCCCACCAGCACTTTATTTATTTGCAGAGACTTAACTGAAGTCTCTAATCAGTTTTCCGTTAAAAAAATCGGAACAAAACTAAGCTCAGCACAGAATCCGAGTTCAATTTAAGTCATGAATTACTTACATGAATAGAAAATTAAAATACAATTAATAAGAAAGTTCAAGGCTCTTACCTGCAGTCACCGTCACCATGGTCCCTTGTCCCCAGTAATCAAGATAGTCACAGTGTTACTTTCTCTGGACTGGGTCACACAGTACCTGGCACTGCACAAAACAAGCAAAATTCTACCATTATTTGAACATTCCTAAACACACACAAACTTAAGTCACGATAAATCTTCATCACATTATAATTGTGCTGGTGGATACTGATCATTCTTGATAAATGATTGTAATGTTTTATCGTTCACAGAGTAACAAATGAACTGATTCTTAAAATTATTAACTAGTGCATCAATAATTATCACTACTTTTACAAATGAAGCTGTGATATTTGCATGATAGTGCACATAAATAATAGAGACTACAAGTTTAGATGGTTTGTAAAAGTAAACACTGAACAATTTCAAACAATGAGGCTGACTGGGTTTTTGTATTGATCAGAAATTCAGTGCCAATCCGTTGTAGGAGCACTGTGATGAAGACCCGTACAGAAACTGCACTCATTCTCTGTTCTATATGCTATCTCAATTTTCATGTGAAATAGACATTTAGTACTGATCGTGATTAGTATTAAAGCTATAGTTTACATAGCACAATTGACAGAGATTTCACGAGCTGTCAGATGAATTAGAGCTAAGATTATGTCGAAGCCTTTAATTGATGGAAGTGTTAGCATTAAACACAATATGCCCAAAACATTACCTCATTACATCGGCTTGTAAGTCAGTTTTACTGGTATATAAACTGTGAGAAGCTTGAGGACTAGTTCAGATTGGGTTGATATAATTACATATAAAACTCTGACGGACCGTCAGTTTACAATGAAGTCTAAAATGTCCCCTTGAGCTGTTTTTGAACAGGTCCAGCTCTGGTTCCTCTCCCTGTGGCCTCTTGCACAGTAATAGATGGCGGTGTCTTCGATCTTCAGGCTCTTCATGTCCAACGCGAAGATGTTGTTTGAAGTGTCTTTGGACGCAGTAAATCGATCTTTAAACCCTGGGGCATAGTTATTGCTCGACGAACTTTTGTATGCAAGCAGCCACTCCAGGCCCTGTCCGGGAACTTGTCGGATCCAGATCATCCAGTCGTTGCCAAGATTGAACCCGCTGGTTTTACAGGTCAGTCTTAGGGTGCCTCCAGGATGGCCGGTTTCCGCCACTTTTTGAGTCAAAATAATCTCCGATTGGACACCTTGAAAATGAAAAACAAAACATGAGCATTAACGCTGAAGCAATGATGGCTGAGTCTTTTAAATTGCTGAGGTAGAGAAACAATGAGACAGAAACAAAGACAGACTTAAAGAATAAACACTCACATGATAAGAAAGTCAGCAGCAAACTGAGAAAAATAGTCGACATAATCATTCTGGTAACTTGTGGAGAACGGTTCTGTCAAGATCTCTCTTCGCAAACCAGAATTAGGAGTATTCAATTACGGCCCAGGGACCAGAATTTATACGCTCGACAGAAAGGGCAGGCTTACGGGTTACGCCTGCTGGTTTCCTGTTGGAGTCTGAGACTGGACCCTCGTATCATCTTCGACAGCCCTACTACATGGGTTCATGCATTTGTATGAGGTTTTTTTTTGAGCTACTTGTTTCGTTGAATAGCTTGATTGGAAGTGTTCCCACACTTTTAATGGAGAACGTAAAATCGAACAGCTTGAGGTTCAGTTCAGGTGATAGTTTCAAATATTTTGTGCAAAGCAATTTAAATAAAACCAATTGGAAGTCAACTCCTTTTATTTCTACATTCATTCATAAGCAGATAAAACTTTAAAAAAAATAGCTCAATGATATTATCAGCCAATAAAATAACTGACCTTGTTATTCCTGGAACACTTTTAAGTCTTTGTCATACTACAAATAACATACAGTTCATACGACACTTTTCTAAATTCAAGTTAGGCAACTTAATAGGGAGCGTGTCCAGAGTGATTACCTTTAGAATATTCAATTGGAAATTCAGCCCCTTCATTTCTATATTCAATAATAAGCAGAAAAGCTAAAAAAAAGTTCAACAATATTATCAGCCAACAAAATTACTGACTTTATTTTTGCAGACGCTCCAATTCTCTCTCACACTGCAAAATAACATAAAATTTATAATCGGTATTTCTAAATTCAATGCTAGGCAAACTAGTATAAAGCATGCCCAAAGTTATTACGTTCAGAATGTGAATGCATATCGCTAACCAACTTGGATGCGGAGAGAAGAAGAACCTCCTTACGTTGCAGAATATCTCTCCTTGGGTCTTTTTCAAATTGCTCCAACCCTAAGATAGTCTTTTGAAATGCATAGTAAAGGAAAGCTGTGTTCCTGAGAAATAAGCAGTGAGTTGATAGTGAAACATAACACTTCGGTAAATTTTTGAAAGGGAGCTACAACAGACCAGATGATAACTAAAACAATAAAATACTCAACATCCGAATCATTACGGATAACTGTGTGGGTAGTTCAGGAGTGTCTGGTAAGTTACAGACTACGAGAATAATAATTGCCACGAATGTAGATCACAAACAGCATAATTGTCTGTTCATTGGTGGCTATGACAGGGACTGTTAACTAATAGAAATCAGAAAAAAATAAACGTTACACTCCACCAGTGCTAGCCATGTATAAGGGCCCACTAATCAGAGAATGGCTCAACAAGCCATGCGAGTTCGAGCCAATTCAATTTTGTTAATTTACTTTGAGACGATAACAAATATAACTGCAATGTGAGTTTGGATCCAGTAACTCATTTTCATGAGCTTTAAAAACTACTTAATAAAAAGGCTTAACTAACTATAATGACCTTTGGTTGGAAGTAATAGAAGTTACTAATGACCAGTCATTTTTTTTTCTGATTGTCACACTGTGAATGCTGCATTCACTGATCTTTTGTTTAAAGAAGAGATGCCAAGTGAAAGGTGCCCTTTGTGGGTAAATGGGAAAATGTAGTTTACTTATTTAGATTTTGCTTTATATAATTCGTCCCTTTAATCTGCCAGGCACAATAGTCAGCAGCAATTAAGCCGAATGGAGAAATGGTCTTCGATATCCCAGTTTCATTTATCGGAAACATCTGAGTTTCTGCAGTAGATCAAAGATACTTTTCCTCACTGTTGACTGCTCGGTGGAAAGCCAAATTCAAACCATAACCATTGCCTCCACGTAAACAAATCGACTCAGCAACAATGCCGGATAAAATTTTATTTTTCGGTTGTGTAACTTGGAAAACTAATCCCTTCTCTCGAGAAAGGAAACATTTGCAGAATGTCAGACAATGTCTAAACATCAACAGTTCACTCGAAGTTCACTACAACACTATATAATATTGAGATAGCTAGATCGATAGATAGATAGATAGATAGATAGATAGATAGATAGATAGATAGAT